TGTCTGTCTATTAGCTATGAATTCAGGGACCCTGTGAAACTCTTCACAATCCGTTTTTTAAGTGCTTATGTAAATAAGTCTTTTTGTTCACAATTATGCATTTTCTGTGCGTTAGTGGATGTTATGTTTCTGTTAATACATAACATGTTATGGACTGGCCTGTTTTTTTTTTCTATAAGAAACATTTTCTATTGTTTTTTCTTCTGTGACTACCTTTTTATCTTCATGAGCTTGTGACTTGTGTGTTATTTGTTGGGTTTTGTGAGTGTATTTTGTGTGTCTGTCTATGTCTGTTTCCCCACTCTGTGTCTGTCATAAAAGGCCTTCAATACACACAAAATGCACAAGAGCTGATGTAGTACTGAAATATATGTACTCAAATGGATGCTGGCCTGTACATAGCATACATACTACATTTCTTTAGGGCACATGCTCCCTTTGTAATTTCTTTACAAATGATATTGTGTGTCTGATACCCCACACACAAATTCACCATTTCAACCCTGGTTCCTGACAAAAGTTACTATAGTTATAATTCCTGCAGTGAAATTTTATGGGGGGAAAAGAGAAAATAAATAAATAGCAGGAAGATTCTGAAAACGCTGTACGCTGTTTAAAGTAGATCCAAATTAGCTCATTAACATTTTAAATAGTCATACTGATATTTAAATTTTAAGTGCTTTATTCAACTGCGTAAGATTAATAAATACATTTGTAAGATGTTTAAATAATTTTGACCACTTTCAATCTTATTTAATGTTCTGATTAACTTTTCATTTTTTACTGAGACTATGCATTCTATTCTATTCTATTCTATTCTATTCTATTCTATTCTATTCTATTCTATTCTATTCTATTCTATTCTATTCTATTCTATTACCTGCATTATATTTCTAAAAAAATTATATGTTGATTGTGTTCCAATCTTCCTTTTAGTTTGATTTTCCTTTATGGATATTCTAAAATTCATAAAGTTTTTTTTTTTTTTTTTTTTTTTTATCTAATTAGAAAGCAAGGTACATTACATTCATTATCACATAAACACATATGAACATGATACTTTAGATGCACATCATACAAAATGTGTTTCCCAAATCAATCACTATACATTACGATTTATTTATTTGAATTATTATTTTGGTGTATCTAATAGTATTTGATTTTTCGGTAACACTTTACAATAAGGTCCCATTAGTTAACATTAGTTAATGCGTTAACAAACACTTATTATAACTTGGTTAAAAATACAACTATTAATTGTTAAGTCATGTCTGCTCAGGTCCATTAAAATTAAATTACATTAACAGATTCAACTTTTGATTTGAATAATGTATTAGTAAATGTTGGAATTAACATTATTCATAGTTTTTATAGTTCATGTAAACAAATGTATTGAACTAATGTTAACAAATAGAACCTTATTATAAAGTGTTACAGATTTTTCAAATAAACTACACAGGCATGAGGTCACATGATTGAGTATCTCCACCCTCTGAAGTCCCATTCCAGGGCCATGTGGTTAATATATCTCTCCGGTGTGTGTAGTGTGCTCTTTATGAGAAGTCTTATCTGTCCGGGGGTCGTAAACTGGGGAGAGGAAACAGACAAGTCAATAAGGCCCGTTGTTTATGTCAGAGTAAGAATGTTTTTGTGGACAATACACATAATTCTCACTCCCTCTCTGACAATACACATCAGTCTCTTTATAGTATAGTTACACTTGTGTTTATTGGCATGAGTGTGTAACAAAACACTAAAAGCTACCAAAAATCTGCTCCTTGTAAAAAAAACAGATAACAAGTACTAAGGTGCTTACATATTGTTGGCTTATAAAGCATAATTGTTATTTGTGGAAACATGAAAACACGTATTGTCAATTATGAATGTATTTTTTCCCCCAATTATTTTTGCATTTAAACTACAATGATTTTTATTGGTATACTCTATCCATATCTATATAACTACCTACTGTTTGTTTGTTTGTTTGTTTGTCTGTTATCAATTAAAGGTGAAGTGTGTAATTTCTGCACCACTAGAGTCACCAAATGAAAAAGGGCAAAAAAGGGCCTGTTTCCATTGGTCAAATTGCCAATGTTGCACAATGCTCAAACAAACAGAATTTTTTTTTTTTTTTTTTTTTTTTAAATACACACTTCCCCTTTAAGACTGGGCTCTATGTCATTTAAATTAGATGAGTTTGAGAGCACATGTTTTTACACATTATATAGTTGTATTTTTTCAAAGTTACATAAATGTAATGAAGCTAAATTTTTTGAGTACACTGTGTACTTTTGTGTATGTTAACAAGACCTTACACTTCTTTTTTATGAGAACAATGGTTATTGAAGATGATCTGTGCTGGTTGCTTGCGTGCATGTTATCTGATAGAGGCCAAAATGTCATGACTCTGAGAATGAGAGCATGGAAGACTAAGCATGTGTGTGTGTATAGGGTGCTCTGCCCCAACTCCACAGTTCTGAAGGGGTGTCTTTTACTTCCTGGTTGGTGACAGTCAAAAGGTTCTCTTTAACCCCCGTTATCTCTTGTGACAAAAAAAAAAAAAAAAAAAAAAAGTGGGGCAGCAACAGTCTTTTACAACTGCATACTTGGTGCTACCACAATTGCCTGTGCTCTTGCTGCCGGCCCGAAGCTGCTGTAAGCGATGTTAGCCGTCTTGCAGTGATACAACACTACTGTTTTTCTTTAAAAGCTACACTATTTCATATTTTATAATTGGCTGAGCTGCTCTCAAAAAACTGAAATGTACCCTCATCCTTTCTTCGGGTCATTTAAAGTCCCACTCCGATCATATTTTGAGGTATTTTTAAACATTCCCAATGGTCTTTAAATTATGATTATGCCATTTTTAGCCAAAATCACAAAACCTGTGCCGTTTTCTGGGACTTCGCTTCAGCAGAGCGGCAGTAGCTCATTAGCAATTCGCCTCTGCGTTGTGGGCGGAGCCGTTGGCACGGAGACGCCCCTCCCCCTGCCCGTTGCTGAGAGCTCTGTCTCTCCCGCTAGCTTACACCCCCAATACCGGTGGGGCAACAGTATTATATACACGTTAATTATTATTATCCGAAGTTAATCAAAGTTATCACCGATCACCGATCATTATTTCACTCCAAGACGTCGCGTGTGGAGACGCCCAGTGGAGTTACTACGTCACAACTCCAGTCTATTTTAGCCGGCATTTTAGCGTCTGCTACTGATTCACAGCCATTTGAATGTAGAAATACTCAGAAATACAACTTTGAGCTTATTTTTCTCAAGGTATGTCCTCTAACATCAGAAAAATGCCACAAGAACATGTTAACACCTAGAAAAACATTATTTTCATCGGAGTGGGTCAAAAAAAATTGTATTGAGTGATTATCAGAGGGGTCCAAGACCCTAGGACTTTTGTCGCACTTGACCTAATACACACACAAAAAAAAATGTAATGGATTCGAGGAGTTTTGTGGTTGAAATTTAAAAAAGTAACAAATCCTTCCCTCGCGGGTCAATTTGACCCCCATAGGAATGAATGGAATGCGAGGAATGCTTCAGTACACATAGAAAAAATTCTCAAAATTCTAACTAAAAATGCTAAAACTTATATTTTGTAATGTCTACATGTGTATCTGAATGCATACTAAATAGAAGTGACTTTAGGACCTAGCGGAACAGCTCATTTACTCCATATAGAGATATAAGGCCATCTAGTGGCAAGAGTTATGAAATATCATGTTATATATTTTTTTTTTCCCCACAAGAGTTCGGCAAAGACTCCCAATGTAAGATATTTTGAGTTGAATTAAAAGGGTTATCCATGAAATTGTGAGTTATTCTGAATTTAAGTTGAAAGAATATGAGGAATGTGCTTAAATTACTATTTATGTATTATTTATTGATCAAATCTAGTAATTTAAATGTAAAGAAATAAAATAGTTAAATGTCCAACAACAAAAAACTGCAATAAAAAATACAAATATTATCAAAATTAAATTAAAGGTGAACTAAGTAACTTTTTTTTACCTTAACCGAACAGCTTTGGAGTCATTGTAATGTTTATATTACTGATTTCGTGTTGAATGGTGGTCGTCTCGCACGCCCCTGATGCCTGTGAGCCGCAAAACCACCCTTGCAACTTTGGGCCGGCGGGCCGCCGTGTTAGGAAGTATCGTGTGATATCAGGTCTCGCGAGGTAACGAATTGCTTTACGGCAAAAAACAGATCTGATAAAATTCTGATAAAATGAGCATCAAACCGAAATAACCCGGCGCCGTATACATGTGGTGTTCAAGGCGCACATACAATACAGACTGCCGACAGTTAAACACGGCGCGCGCAGCTCTTAAAGGGGCCATACCTTATTTCCACTCGTTACAGCGTCCATCCTACTGAACAGGTACCGGTGTACAGGGGGAGGGGATCCGGCCGTGAGTGCGAGCCATCTCTGCGTGAGTGCTATTCACGACAGTACAAGTACTCCACAGTGACTCTAGGGGTCGCTGTTTGACAAAAACGGAATTCCTACTTAGTGCTGCTTTAAATGAGCTTTTTGGACCAAAAAAAAAAAGTATAATTTTAGGGCTTCAGGTCATTTTGACCCACGAGGGAAAGATGTGTTACAAAGTGCGAGGGAAGGATGAGTGCATTTACACTCTTAACACTGTGAGCAGCAAATCCAATGTCTGCTAACCCAAACACGCAAACTCTATGACGAGCAGAGAAGAGCCTCTTTTCTAGAGCTTTCTCACTCAAGTGCATTTCTGGACACCCAGATCTGTCAGGTACCTGGGATGAGAAATGGCTTACAGCAGCTTTAGCAACCTCTCTCAAAAAACGTTATTCCCCCCATTTGCTTTCCACCGAGTCAGTGGGCTTGCTCTCTAATCTCCCTTCCCTAACCCCCTGATCTGGAGCACATCCCTCCTGGGTTTAAAGCGTGTGGGGCTGATTGGGGGGCGCAGTGGGGGGCCTGTATCAGTGTGCCAATCTCTGTGTCACTCCAGGTTACGGGCTGGTGGTACAGGAGGAACTAGTCTCACCCGCCTCCATGCAGTACAGTCTACCTTCGCCACTGGGCAATGAGCCCTACTGGCAAGAAGTATCGAGCATGGAGTGTGCACCAATCGCTACCACTGAAGAGGACACACTCATGGAGATGTCTGAGGTACAGGTTTGGCCCTCAGGCAATAGTCCTTCCATTGTGACCGTTGAGGATTCGTCACTGGAGTGCAGCAATGCTGACGACCTGGGCCACTCGAGGAGCGGGACTCCCGGTGGAAACGGACCCGAGGGACTTGCTACTCAGAGAGGGTTGAGTGGATCCATCGAGCTCCTCGAGGATCAGTCCATCGGGGCGGATTCAGATTACAGTGCCGCTGGGATGCTGTGTCTGAGCGAAGGGGTCAACATCAATGCTCTGGACAGAGGTCAGGGGTTGGAGAGGTCAGAAGGGGCTGTTGGTCAAGAAGTCAACAACGTTAAAGACGCTTCCAATGGAGGGTTGGGAGAAGGAGGAGGTGACGGCACAAACTTAGAAGATAGCGTATCTCTCATTTCAGGGCAACAGCGAATTTATGCTCGAGTGAGTGAGTCACCTGGGCTAAGAAGACGGGCAGATCATGGGGAAGACAGGTGAGCTGCCCACTACGTTCTTAGTTACTTTGTGGACCAGCAGCGACATATTTTTCAGGAAGTTTCTTCAGGTAATCATTTTCAACTCTTAATTTTGAAGAGCATTGAAAATGAGGCTAAACTTGACCAAATGTTAGTTTAAATGTGTCGTTCATGGGCTACTAGAGATTTTACTAAAGATTTTCTGTCAAAACGGTGTCGTGTAATCGGCCCCTAACTTAATAACTAATGATCTCTGCAACGGAAGTGAATCAATCAAACCTAACTTTAGCTGGACGATAACTTTATTCTAGAGCTGCTGTAAAGCCAAAACAATCTGTTACTGTAATTTCCTATTATCACTGTAAAGCTGCTTTGAAACAATCTATATTGTTAAAAGCGCTGTATAAATGAAGGTGACTTGACTTGCAAAAATACTGCACTTTCCCCAATTCTCTACACGCCACAATGGTTTTGTCCCAAACTGATGTAATTAATTGACCCATTGTTGGTAGAGATCCAGTGCCATAGAATTTAGTCTTTCTTGTCTGATGGACCGAAAATATTAATGGCTAATGATCTACTATAATCTCCTACTTTCAGCCTTTTTTTAAAGTTATTAATTTAGTTCATTTATATAAATAGCCGCTCTGTAGAAAACCGTGATGTCATCGTCCAGCTCAGTTCAGTTTTCATACAATGGTGTCAATTCAGGCAGATCAATAATATTGTTGAATATTAAATTAAATGTAAATTAAATACAGGAAATATATCATGTAAGTTGCCAAGTGGTCAAGTGCAAAGACCACATTGTTGGGACAAGCCCTCTAGAACTCTCTGTGTTTCTTTGCAGCAGAACAGAAATAAGGCTATTGTCAGGCTTGCAGGGTTGTTTCAACCCAAATTTGGGTCAAAAATGGACAAACCCAACTGTTGGGTTAAAAAATTGTATTTAAAAATGTAACCCAACGGCTCGTTTTGTCCATATTTGACCCAAATTTGGGTTGAAACAACCCAGTGTTTTTTAGAGTGATTACTGACTGCATTGTCATTACCTCTTCTAATTTTCTGTCTCGTTTTTCAGGTTATGTGGAGGGTCGTTCCTGTCTTACCTGCAGGAGCAGGGGTCTCCCGGTTGGCACTCGCCCCCAGATCCGACTCTGAACCGAGTGGGGTCTCTACAATGCTCCCTTCCCAGACAGGCAATCGAGTCTATGATGTCCTCAGTGCGCGCCGCAGTGGACTGCGACTCTAAGCAGTCTTGCCTGGCACAAGAAGCCCTGATTGAGCCGGTGCGGGACATGGGGCATTCGGAGATCATCCACGGGCATTATCAGGGCACTCAACCTTTTGAGAAAGGACTAGGGTTCCCACACAGAACAGCTAACATTCGGGCTTGGGAGGACATGCGTCTAAGAGGACAGGTAAGAGTTTAAAAATGTTATTTTATTTGTGATGTCACATATCAAGCACATGCTGAATGTTTTTGCTTTGACATGCAATGATGTGATGGATGAGGTTGACTTCATTGCAAGGCTGTAAACATTGGGAGGACCAATTAAAAAAAAAGATTTACAAGATTTTGGTCTCTTAAAAAAAAAGGCATGCAGCATGTTTGCCTTTAAATGCATTTTGGATTGATCTATCTTTGGAGTTTACACTGAAAAAAAAAAGTTTTTTTGTCACTGCTAGGATTTGTGTCATAGCAGTTCTCGTTCATTTCTGTGGTATCCACAAAAAGACAACTCTTGTACAACTCTGACTGCATTTCAATGACGTCAAGGCTGTAATGTGATTGGTTATCAAGCCTCACGTGATCAGTCGTGCTTTTTCCAATGGTAGAGATGCAAATGTTGCTATCTCCACGTAAAAAAACATCTCTGCTTTTACCGCAAAATTCTTCTTGATGAAGCATTTTCAAACCTAAAAGTAAGCTGTAGTGACATTGAATCATATTGTTTCACACTTTTGTAGTTTTGGCTTGGTTTGTTTGATTTGGTTTAATTGAACAAAATATTGCATCAGGCAGAGAACGTACTGAGGAATTGCTTTCATTGTTTGTAGTTGATGTACTCTGGATTTAGATCCAACTCTGTGCTCCCTCTTTTTTAAGGATGAGCCTGTATCCATGGAAGCTTGTTTCTACCACAGAATAAAACATTTTAAAAGATAATTGCGACTTTTTATCTCACAATTGCGAGTTAACGTCTCGCGATTCTGACTTTTTTCCTCAGAATTGAGTTTATATCTCACAATTCTGACTTTATAACACGCAATTGCGACTTTATATCATGCAATTCTGACTTTATATCTCACAATTGCGTGTTACAAAGTCAAAATTGCAAGATATAAACATGCAATTCTGAGGGGGAACATTTTTGCGAGTTTATTTCTCTCAAATCTGACTTTATAACACATAATTGCGACTTTATATCACGTAATTTTTTACTTTATAACACAATTGCGACTTTATGTCACATTTCTGAAAAGTAAAAAATTACCTTTTTTATTTTTTATTCTGTGGTGGAAACAAGCTTCCATATACATCAGTCGTTTTAATATTATGTGACTAGATTGGAAAAACAGTGTGCATTATGCATCATTGGACTAGAGGAGGAACTTGGGGAAATAACATGGAAGAAATAGTAAAACATGAAGGTATGTAGAGTGAAACTCAAGCAGTTGGTGGGAATATTTGACAGCTGTGATTAGTGCCGACTGTATTGTGCTATAAATGCCCTCTGTGACAGACCATATTACTAGTGACTATTATAAAACAAGCCCAAAGTCACTTATAGTAGCATACATGGATAATTGGCTTTATTCAGTAAAGTTTTTGCTTACAAAAGCTTTTATTTCCCTAAGGCTGATGGAAACTCGAGTGTGCACAATTGTTTGCACTTGCTTGTGGTGGGTGGCACACACACACATACAGTATACAGCCAGCCCTAGATGGACACACAACCCATTGGTTTCTAAATATAGATCTTGTCTGCTTCTGTCATCTAAAGGGCCAATCCCGCTGCAGTGGCGAGTAGGGGACGAATATTATATATGGATTTGAAAGGCATGGACAGTAAGGTCAATGATCTCTCAAAGACATGTAATGCTGTTCCCAGCTCTGAAAATGGTGTTTAAGAAAATGTAACAGGAAAATAACTGACTTTGGTATCATTTGCATTATATTTGGTTTATATTGTAAAGGTTTATGATAACTCTATGCTGCTGATTTCCACACAAAATAAAAAATGCATGGTCAGAAATGCACTTGCAATGTACAGTACACTACTCTTCTAAAGTTTGATATTTTTGGATATTTCAATAGTCCATATTAGACATTCTACTAATTACAAGTAACTACATGTCAGCTAACTCGCACTCTAATGACTGGTAGTTGACATTTGTCTAAAGTGGACTATGAATTCTTTTAAGATTTGGTTTTGAAAGAAATTCATATTTTGCAAGGACACATTAAGTTGATCAAAAGTGCCAGGTAAGATATTTATAATGTTACAAACAATTTCTATTTCAAATAACTATTTATTTCAAATCTATTTTTGAACTTTCTACTCATCAAAGAATCCCGAAAACAAACATTTCCACAAAAATATGAAGCAGCACAACTGTTTTCAACATTGATAATAATAACAAGCAATATTTCCTGAGCATCAAATCAGCATATTAGAATATGTATACAGAAATAAATTACATTTTACAATATATTACAATATATAGTATTTTAAAGTGTAATAATATTTCACAATATTACTGTTTTTACTGTATTTTTATTTATTTTTTAATAAATGCAGCCTTGGTGAGGAGAAAAGACTTCTCTATAATTAAGAGCTCGTATTAAAAACTGATTTCATAGTTAAGTCATGGCCATAAACTGTACGTCTTGTAAGATTAATGGAGAGAGCAAAATATTACTTTAGGGCATGATCCTTGTCTTTTATTCCCACCGTAGTAAAATTGAAAATGTTCATGGAAAATGATCGCTGGAAAAGAGTGGGAACCCGGATTAGGCCTACATTTTAAAATATATTACATTAGAAAAGTTATTTTAAAGTGTAATAATATTTCACAATTTGACTGTTTTTACTCTGTTTTTGATCAAATAAATGCAGACTTGGTGAGCAGAAAAGACACGTTCAAAACCATTTAAAAAATCTCACCGATCCATAACGGTAAGTCTGAGGGACAACCATGTTTATTTTTATTTAATTAAAATTAAAATTGAAAAAAAAAAATCTGACAAAAGTTTGTATTGTGTCTGCAAGCGTTTAATACTACATGTAAAGCAAAGGAGCAACCTATTGTGAAAATGCTGTTGTTGAAATGTTAGCAGCTGTTTGTTCGCTCACATACTAAGAGCCACAACAAGAAAGTTGTCCTCACATTGTGGGTATTTAAAGCATAACAGATCACATGTGCAATCGGACACTGGAAAGAAGGGAGATGTTTTAGGAAGGTAGAGATAGAGAGAGAGAGAGTGCTAAAGCCAACCACATTCCCAACACAGCTGACCGAATGAGGAAATAACCGGAGAAGGAATGGTCTTCAAATGAAAGCTGTGGAAAGAGTGGAAGACTGAAAGATAACATCGTTCCCCGACCGTATCTCTGGCCGTTGGAGTGTGTTTCTGTGAGCGAGTGCTTCACTATGTGGGCACTGGTGACTGAGCTGCTTTTCAGCTTCGTGTTGTTGGCCTTCATGGTCATCAGCTGCCAGAACGTCCTTCATATCGCCAGCAGTTCGGTCCGATCGGTCCTGGCCTACATTCACACTCAACTGGACCGTGAGCTGGGTGAGAATGAAGGTGTGTGTGATGAAGAGGAGAACGTCACCACTCGAGTCGTGCGCCGCAGGGTTATACTGAAGGTACTGGCGATCGCTGTGGATGTTTAACACGGAATAGAGGCTGTTGTCAAATGTGCACGCTTGAGTTGTAAATCTAAGGGATTACAATGATACGTCGTGGGTGCTTGGTTTCAGTTTCATTTGACCTCATTTGAGTCAAACACCAGTGGTCTAGTAAGAACCACACATAATTGATCCGGTGTGTAAGATACTTAGAGTGAGATATTTTGTATTTAAAGTAGGTCTGGTCATTGACACATGTTGAATTCCTACATTCCTCATAGACATCTTGCCACGGTTTTCACACAGAACGTGTTTTTCCATTCCACTGCGCTACTTTTACATTGTTTTTCAATGTAAACGCGCACTAGACACACACGTTTTACTGCTGCGCTCACGTCTTCTGCTGGATCTCACGCATGACCTATTCTAAAAACATGGCGTTCAAGTTAAAATTACTTGAACTTTTTAAAAACCTTGCATCTCGAGTTTTTTTTCCATTTCATTGTGCTAATTTTCCATTTTCAATGTAAACTCGCTAGACTCTTACCATTGTGCTCGCATCTTTTTGCAGCGTCTTGTGTTCTGTGTATGAAATCACCCCTATATACCCTTAAATAGGGCACTAGTTGAGGGGACAGCCATTTATAGTGGTGTCAAAAATCATAGTGGATGTTATCGAGTGCACTCATTCATTTACATGTATGCATTTGGCAGACGCTTTTGTACAAAGCGACTTACATTGCATTTCAAGGTACACATTTACATTTCTATCAGTTCTTGCTTTCTCTGGGAATCGAACCTATGACCTTGGCGTTGCAAGCGCCAGCGCTCTACTGTTTGAGCTACAGGAAGGCTTCTATTCAATCCCATAATGCACCGCAAAAACGAGTTTACACAGCAAGCACGAACTATGTTACTTGATTTTAAATGTGCTTATGTATTAAAAGTAAAAAGTACTGATCGATGAACCATGTTTATTTATTTAGCCATTTTAATAAGGAAGATTAGTGGAAGAAGAAACATACAGTATGTATTTATCTGCAAATAGGCAAATGTTTCATATTACCAAAACATACCAATTATCAATTTCAGCTACTGATAATTCATTTTTTTTAAAATACCATATAGTATTTAAAAATAAAGAAAAGCTCTATGTTTAATTTTAGCTCTAAAAGCTCTATTTTGTAGTGGAGGAAAATGTACAATATAATGCTTTTGAATGTCGAGAAGTAAAAGTTTACCAAAATAAAAATAATTACATGCTACACATACTTAAAAAATGTACTTAAAGGATTAGTTCACTTTTAAAAAAACTTTTGCTGATAATTTACTCACCACCATGTCATCCAAGATGTCCATGTCTTTCTTTCTTCAGTCGAAAAGAAATTAAGGTTTTTGATGAAAACATTCCAGGATTTTTCTCCATATAATGCACTTTGCTGGGCACCAAACGGTTCAAGGTCCAAAAGACAGTTTCAGTGCAAATTGCAAACTGTTCAAAGGGCTTTAAACGATTCCAGACGATGAATAAGGGTCTTATCAAGCGAAACGGTCGCTCATTTCAAAAATAAATAACAAAGTTTAAGTTTAATAATGTCAAATGCTCGCCTTGCTCTGTTCTGTGTGACTCTCCTGTTCGAACTCGTTCATCAAAATGAACAAATCTTTTTTCGAGTCATTTGGTTCATGAACGAATTGACTCGGAAAAAGATTCGTTCATTTTGATGAACGAGTTCGAACAGTGTATAGGCGTGTTTCTTAAGAAAGTGACATCATCATGTACCGCCCTGGCAGCAGAATACAACGTTTTTAGTCGTTTTCACAGATCCGTGTGTGATCATTTTGACAATGTTGTCGTCTGTAAGTGAAAAACGTTTCCGTTTGTTGTCGTGTGAACGTACACTTCTTTTGTTTTAGATGTAAATTGCAGCCATTTTTACTCAGAATTCCAACAAAATATAATGAAATGGTTCCTGAGCCTCTGTATCATATTAATATGTGCTTCGAAAGGAGCTCAAGATCTCCCGGATTACAATCAAATGTTGAATATGTTTATTACAGAGAGACGAATAATCCCCTTGACAGCACCTTTGATGTGAAATCTGGTTCACATAATCATCCAATCAGAGAGAAGGAATAGTGATGCACTGCTTATTGTGATGGCCAGTACTATGAATCATTTTGACCATTTCTTGAAAAACTATACACAGGACTATTGCGAGCAAGTCCAATCAGAGAGCGAGTGAAGCACCCAATGGAGCATGTCGCCCTTTTAAGTTGCTTTTGTCATATCTCACCTAGGGTGATGAGGCAGAGGACCTTCACGGAGAGCAAGTGAGCGAGGAGCAATTTACAGATGAGCATGGCAACATCGTCACCAAAAAGGTCAGCAGTCTCATCCTGCTTTATTCCTGTCATTTACCACTCATTGCCATGTAATATCCATCTCAAATCCATCTCAGTAATCATTTCGATTAGCTCTGCCAATTGAAATGATTCGGTGTTCGGTTATGCTGGGTTGGGTTTGTTGCTCTGTTCCAAAGCATAAAGAGCTGCTTTATTTAATGCGTCCTGATGTGGCTGTTGTGTTGAAATGTTGCCCACCTTGTTTAAAAGGGAGCATTTCCGGTATCCTTCTTGGAGAACACAATCCCAGAACACATTCTGACAAATGTAAAAATGTGAAAGAAATCCATCAGGATGGTGTGAGATAACTAATGGACCCTAGAATTAAAAAAAAAAAAAAATCTAATCTGCATTTACAACAATACTTTGTGTTTGGCATTCAATTTGTTACAACTAGTGTTTCTAATACAACATTTTTTTTATAAATGTTACATCTTTCTCTCTTCTGATCAACCAATCTCTATATATTTTCTTTTTCTTCTTTTGCTCTTTTGGAAAGTTATAGAAACGCTATTTTGAACTTTTTTCTTTTGCTATTAAAGCAACACTTAATTTTACAGTGTTATTGTTACACATGTTACTAGTAATAACTATAAATGATGCATAATTACATGCAACTAACCCTAAACCAAACCCCGATCCTAATCCTAACCCCTATGGTAGGTACATGTATATTACTCAGTACTTAAATGTATAATTACAGTGTAACAACAACACCTTAAAATAAAGTGTAGCCCAAAAATTATATTTATATTATATTTTGTAGTTTACGTTCACCACGATAGAAGTTTACCCAACTATGATGACTTCCACTTCGGAGAACCCTGGAAATGTGAAAAGGGTTCATATGCTTATATTTAATCAAATACTGAACTTTATAAATAAATAACAGTTCAAAGATTTCATTTACCCAATAATTATGTGTACTATGTATTTGTTATGCTATGTATTTGTTATTACTGTACACTCAAAAAATATTTAAGCTTAAATTTAAGTTTTAAATGAAACAAACTAATAAATTGAATTTAATGCATATTTGTCAGTCGTACATAAATAAAACAAGAAACAGGTCAAATTTCTGGACTCAAAAGTAGAATGGCAGAGCTTAATATTAACTATCAACTATTTGAATCATTTGATTTTATTTATATAATAATCTTTTCAAAATTAATTAATTGAAATTGCTTAGATTCAGCATATATTTGTTTATCATAAAAACGATGAAATGTACTCTGTTAAAAACTATGAACATGGTTAAAATGCGGTGAGCTGTATAACAAACAATATTCAATTAGTTGAAATAAGATCGAAACAAATTGGGTTTTTATATATATATATATATATATATATGGTGATTGTGTATTTAAAACACATTCAGTTTATTAGTACTATTACAGAATTCCTAAATGTTTCAGTTATTTATGTATGACTGAATTTTATTAGCAAATAAATCTTAAATAATAAATCTTAAATCGAGGCTTAAATATTTTTTAAATGTATTGAGTCGTTAACTTAGCAAGTTAGCGAGTTTACCTTAAGCTGATTCTTTTGTACCAATAATGCGCTATATGTGAGAGTTATTGTCTATGTAAAGTGTTTCAAATCAGCCACATGTGGGACTTAATTTCAGGCAGTTCACAAAATTTTGGAACAGTTCTTAAAGTCAACATGATTCAATGGCAATTAACAAGGAAACGTACCATCATTTCGAGATGTTCTTGAGGGTGAACTTGACCATCCAAAAATAGATGGTTTCCAATAATTCACCTTGATTTTAAAAGCAACTTCAAAGTATACGTTTCCTTCGAAAGTCATAACTTATGCATGTTTCTTGTATTGTTTCTCATCTCTCACCTTTTTTTATTTCTTCTTCTCCTGCTCCCTCTTCATATCCACCGATTCTCAATGATCTCATCCATCCGTAGATTGTGAGGAAGGTGGTCCGGAGAGGAAAAGGGGAGGAAGGGGTTCAGGAGCTCATCATAGAAGGGCTGCCGCAGGAGATCAGTGAGCAGGACGTTGATGGAGAGCAGTACATGAGCTATGCAGTCCTGGGCCGTGACAACAAGGTGGGCTTTTGAGTTAGCAGAGCTGGTCACACTTTATATTAGGTGTCTTTAACTACTATGTATTTACATTTAAATTAATCATTTGATACAATGCACTTATTGGGCCCTATCATACACCTGGCGCAAAGCAGTTGTGCACAAAGTGTTTTTTGCTAGTTTCAGCCCTACGCAACTATCATTTTCACGTCCTGCGCCACGTTGTTTAAATAGCAAATGCATTTGTGCGCCCATGGGCTGCTGGTCTGAAAACGAGGTGTATTTGTTCTATTTATGAGGAACTGAAATAGACTATGCCATTGACCAACTGAAACCTGGTCTAAAGTCAATGGCGCAGTATTTTTGTTGTTATTTAAAGAGCGTGTTAATAATATGAGCCTATAGCCGGGTCCACAACGCGCGTCCCGTAGATGGTCTGCTTGCACTTTAACCTCGCGAACGAGCAGATCCTTTTACTCGCTAGAGAAGCATTCAGTTTTTACGTTTGCAAATGTAAATAGTGAATCCGCCATGGCGCGAGCGCAACTGGCTTTTAAAGGGAATGGGAGATGAGACTCTGATTGGTTTATTACACGTTACGCCCAAAACACACCCATTACTCGTTAAGAGAATAGAGACAACCCTTTTAGACCATGCGCCGGGCTCGCCATTTGTCGACCATTTGTTCCGTCGTTAAACTGCGGACATCTCTAGTTTTTACATTGTACTTATATTTAAAAATACCTGCATTTAATTACAGCTGTAATTAATTTCTGTAATTACATCTATAATCACACTGTTACATCTTAACCCACTCTTAAACCAACCCATACCACCAAACCTGTGCCTAACCGTACCAGTATCCCACCTCAAGTGTTTTGCAATACAACATCAACACAATAAATGCATTACACCAAACAATGAATTTTTTGATGTAAGAACACAGCTGTTAAAGACACCTAATATAAAGTGTGAGCGCTGGGCTTGTTGCACCAGGACTGATAGGATTTGTTTTGAAGAGGAATATGTAACGTGCGAGATGGTCGAATAAAGTCAAGGCTCAGTAGACCGGGAAAACACCAAATACATAAATGCATACTTTTTCTTTGCATTATAGATCTTAGAAGATGCAGCATACACATGTGATCCACATAAGACTGACGATTATAATGTATCTGCTAGAATGTGCCATGAATCATTTAAAGGTGCAGAAATGGCTTTTGTATGGAAGAAATAGAGTGAAAATATTGTGACAAGTGTCAGAGGACAATATATGCTCAGGATAATGTGAGAAACTTGTAAGCCTGTAGATACACCTTTATTTAAAATTGTCCTTAATATTAGACATGTTCAGCTTTATTATAACTGTCCTTCATATTATTGATGGCTTAGTATCATGTTAGGTAACACTGGTCAGAATTGAATTGGTAATCATATCATTGGAGTTTAGTGTTGAATTTCTCCCCAATGCATCATTATACTTTCTCTTGGGCACTTTTGTCATTTCCTGTTTTTGTTTTCGTTCAAAAAGAGGAATCAGTCAGAACCGGGATTTGGTGGTGAGCAACAAATAACACTGAACATTGCATTTTAGAGGCCTAATGTGGTGTCATGGTCACACTTTAGTTTGGGGAATACATATATTTACTATGACTTCTGCCTCAATAAACTCCTAATTCACTGCTTATTAATAGTTAGTATGGTTGTTGTTAAGTTTAGGTGTTGTGTAGGATTTAGGGATGTAGAATATGGTCATGCAGAATAAGGCATTATTTTGTGCTTTATGAGTACTAATAAACAGCCAATATGCAAGCTAAAAGCAACTAGTTAATAGTGAGAATTGGTCCCCAAACTAAAGAGTTACCGGTGTTATTTATAAGACTGAATATATCTGGTTACTCTACTCAGACTACTATTTCTGCAGTATTCAGTATGTACTGTGCATATTATGCAAACAATCTGCATGCATGGAATACAGAACTATTACAACCGCGTATGAAATATAAAATATAATAAAAAAGATAGTGTATGCAGAAGAGCACACTGGGGAAAATGAGCTTCTCTTTCCAGTGTTATAACAGGGTTCCCGCGGATCCTTAAAAAGTCTTAAAAAGTCTTAAATTAGATTTTTAAAATTTAAGACCATAAAAAGTCTTATAAAGTCTTATTTTTACTTATGAAAGGTCTTAAATTTTAGATGACACTTTGACTTAGACATATCTAAAAGCTTTCCAAATTAAAACTATCTAATTAGCGTACGTATTTTTATTTATTTATTATTCTATCTTTGTGGATTTGCTAATTCACGTGACATTTCGCGTCACTCGCGAGTCGCGGCAGCATAACTGTCTCCTGCACGCGAGAGGAGAGAAGGAGAAGAAAGGTCGTAAATGTCAGTTCAGTTGTAAGTTCATTCTTTATGTGCGTATGGTGTGCGATGTGTATTGTCTATTATGATATTGTAATCATTGTTTTAACAATGTACGAGGCACTGCGAGCTGACAGCGCATTTGTCTCGTGCTTTCACTGCGTGATGTGTGCAGTGTAACTGTTATGTCCCCAAATTAGTTTTTGTCTTATATTTATATCATATTATGTTCTTATATTAGAATATCACATCAGAAAGAGTGCCGTTTTCCCGTGCACAATTCCAAGTGTGATATTTATGTTATACAAAAGTTAAATTAACAATAAGTTAACATTGAGTTACTTTTTAGACACAATATTGTCAATATTGTTTGTTTTCCCTTTATTTCGCCGACTATAATTTCAAAATGAAACAGTAGCAGAGTCTCAATGCAACCGACAGCGATGATTTCTTGACTGAAATCCGCGTTTTGAACGAATCACTTGCTTCTTTCCCGAATGAATCAGCCGTTTGAACGAATCGGTTGAATGAATGACTCCCTCAACTCACTTACTCACAACAGTGATTTGCCGCTGCGGTTTCATATTTAAAGTACCCTTTAAATAAAATGTTAAAATTAGAAATCATTTAATATTTAAATATTGAATATTGATTTAAAAATAGGCTATATATCTCATAGCTTTATTTATGCAGTTGTAAATGGAGTGTAAATATTTTAATGCCACTTCTGATGCCGCTTCTGTCACCTCTGCACTGCAAAGATGGATTTTGATTGAATGATTTAATTTGACTGGTAACAGTGGTACTGTATGATTATTATATAATTAAGTATTATTGTATAATTACTGTATAATTTAATTTGAATGATAGTATTTGACATTAAAGGTGATGCATAACTCTAAATAAGTTTAGAAAAAATGTCCATATATAGGTGAAAATGCCCCTGAAAAAATCAATTTAAGGTGGCAAATATTGCCCCTTAATTAAAATATTAATTTCTGTCACTGCTGTGAACTGACCACTGCATAGAATATGAAAAATATGAATATCTTCGTGAGTCAGCTGTCAACAACAGACCTAAACCAGCCATGGCACCAGCACAAAAACACAATCAGGAAAATATCATCTAATTATTATCAACAAAACGTTGAAAATATTAAGATATATTTTTGTCAATACTGCACAGCCCTAATGTACGGTATTAATTTTGATTTCTTAAGGTCTTAAAAAGGTCTTAAAAAGCCTTAAATTTGACTTTCAAAAGTGTGCAGGAACCCTGTATAAATGAATTAGGAGATACTTCTTTTTCTTTACTCCTTATTTAATCCGACTGACAAATGATGAGACATTTTACACAAAATAAGATTATTGGTATTTAATTGCACAAAAGCAATAAATACTATTCACTCTAAGTGTAAATAGTATTTAGATACAAATAGTGGCAGATATTGTTTGCACCTCAGTGTATTGTAGTCATTTATATAACAGTATGCAATAATAACAACACGTTAACACATTATATTTATTAAAATCATAATTGGATGCCTCCTTATTGGGACATTATTGTCCCTGTCCCTAAAGCCCTCCCCTATCCGATAAGCACTCTATTCCCACTATTAAATACCCTTTAGGCACTTTATTTCAAGTATTTTCTTTGATTTTATTGAAAATAAACCCCTTTCTGAGCTGATATGCGATGGGAAAAGGGAGAAGAATGAGTTGGGAAAAGGCGGATTTGAACTTGGGTTGGTTGTCAAGTCACCTTCATTTATATAGCGCTTTTAACAATATAGATTGTTTCAAAGCAGCTTTACAGTGATAATAGGAAATTAAAGTAACAGAGATAGTTTTGGCTTTACAGCAGCTCTAGAATAAAGTTATCGTCCAGCTAAAGTTAGTTTTGATTGATTCACCTGGTTGTGTCAAAAGCTAACGGCACGCCACCGATCCTGTTATCAGCGGGATTTCTCCTGCAGTTTTATCTGGCTCAATAATATTAAATAATAATAATAATTAAAATAATATGCACTGTGCAGTGTATACAGTGGTCAGCAAAACATTACACTCTAAAAAATGCTGGGTTGTTTTAACGGACATACCCAAATGTTGGGTTAAAAATTTAATGTAAAAATTTAACCCAACACCTGGGTTTGTCCATATTTGACCCAAAGTTGGGTTAAAACAACCCAGCATTTTTTAGAGTTCATTCTGAACATATTCTGCCTTGTAGACCCTTGTAGATTTTGAGGAAATTACCAGGTTGGTTCATATGTGATTCCTCTTTATGAGCATCCCAGTTAACCCTCACTTCATTTGATGTTCATTATCATTTGTTTACATATGATTTATGTCAAGTTTCCCTGTATACGCTCGACTTAAATTAAACTTCTCTTTGCCCAGACTGTGAATGTGCCCGTCCTTCTGTGTTCTGATGCGATCTGCTTTTTTCTCTTTATCCTATCCCATTTATTTGTCTCTCTTCCGTTCTTCTCCATGCTGTCTCTTTGTTTTGTGTGCTCTTGCACGTTCTGCTTATATCTCTTTTTTCATTAACACCTCACCTAATTGTTTCACTCTGCCCTCTCCGTCTGTCCCGTTACTCTTCTTGTTTCTACTCGTTCACTCTCCCGTTGTCCTCCCCTGGATGGTCCCGTCTGCTGTCCACCGTAGCCGGATGTTGTGGACGTGAAGAGGGGAGGTGCTCAAATAGTGAAATGTGCGAGTCTACGGAGAGTAAAGCAGTGAGTCTGACTCGCGCCTCCCTGCAGGTACAGGACACTGCTGCACTTTGTGCTAATGTAATCCTGCTAACCAATGGGATTCAGTCGTCATTCTGAGCCATGAGACTGTGGTGCCATAGGTCATTACCAGGACACGGTGCCATTTATCACGGAAAATCCTGACATTTCCTGAAGTGCTATTAGGGACCACAATTGCTTCCCCAACAGTATTCAGACTAGTGATCAAAAATATGGGTTTCTCAGTTGGACAAGTCTTAATCTATCAATCAAGTAGATTCAATGTGTTTTGTAATAAATCGCATATTTATCATTTAACATTATTTTAAGCGGAGTGGAAGATCCTGGGACAATGAAAAATGTTGCACAAACACATTTTGGGGAAAAAAAACTTGCATCGAAAACAAGATACAATTTCAATAAAACTGAATTTGGGTAGAATGCAGGGTTTGGATTTTGGTAATTAATTTGACAAATTGACTGATATTCTGATATAAAACAATAATGTGACTGCTTTCTGTATCTTTTTCTATAGTAAGTCATGAGGACATAACGCACCGTTCCTGAGAATGATCCAGGTCTTCTAGTTTTAGGTGGTCTGAATTTAAACGTATTGAGATAAATCAAGCTATCGCGAACGTAAACATACAGTAGCATTTCATTATCAAGCAGGCCATAGGAATGTAAATATATAAGGAGTTCTGTTCCAGAAATATACCAATAACCAGCTTAGTTACAGATAGTAAGTGTGTTTGTCTCTGAAAGTGAATCTCATGAAGGTATAGGCTATTGTATGAGCTAGATTTTAAAATAAAAATGAAGCACTACTATTCAGGCATAGAAATACATATAGGACTATTGATTTTGTATAAGGTGTGCCTTTTGTTATGCCATTTGATGTTCTACTTTTACACATTTCACCTCACTGCATTAACTCCAGAATTCCTCTGACATCTTGTCCATTTCCAACTAATATATATAAGTGTCCACTATATAAGTTGTGTGCCCTTCCTCCCTTTTAACTTCAGAATAACTCTTGATTATGATTTTTGTTTTAATCCTATCGGAATCTTTGCAGGATGCTATCTATTCCTATCCTATATCATAATTTGCAATCCTAATGAGATCAAACAGTGTTGGAATGACAGTATTTTTATTGTTGTTGGATGTTGTGGAATATTTATCGAAATTATATTGATGTTGTAATAATGTCTTGCTGGTACACCTAAAGCACTTTACAGCGGGAGCTTAAATTGCTCCTTAAATTACTTAAAGGCACACTAAGTAACTTTTGGCCCTGTAGCGGTTACTGCATGCATTTTGTGGAAGAACATTGTTTTGGTTGTGCTTTGGCTCTGCGTGAATATGCGGATGAATATGATTATGCTGCTGCTCATAAGGGATAGTTCACTTTGAAATTAATTTTTGGTATGTTTTAGCTTACCTCAAGGGCATCCAAGATGTAGGTGTCTTTGTTTCCGCAGAAGTTTCAATTTTGATATTTTTAGGTCAAACCGTTCTTGTCTGTCAGTCATATAATGCAGGTCTATGGT